GTTTCCGAGGGTGTAAATCTTTACGGGAGTAGAAAGCCTCATCTTTCTCCCGCGGAGCAGCTGGTAGTTTCGAACCGCTGACCTGAAGGTTCGCAGCCCGATTCGTAACCACTATGCTACCAGAGATCCTTTTGAACTGCTGACCATGAAGTTCGCAGTCCGATTCATAATCACTACACTACCAGAGCTTCTTATCATTAGCCATTAGAGAGATGCAAATCAAAATAACAATGCAGTTTCGTCCTGTTGTTAAGTGCTGTTGAGTCAGTTCTGACTCATAGATGTCCTGTATAGAGTTTCCAAGGATCTGCTGGTGGGTTTGAACTGCCAATCTTGAGGTTAGCAGTCCAGTGCTTATTCTATAGCACCACACCAGGACTTACCCCACGATTAATAGCAAAGTTCATAAAAGCAGAAAACAAAAATTCTGGTGAGAATATAGAAAAACAGTGCCTCCTACACTGTTGGTAGAACTATAAAATGGTGTGACCACTGTGGAAAATGGCATTGGCACGCTCTCAGAAAGTTGGAAACAGAAATGCCGTATGACCCAGCAATCCCTCTACTTAGTATGTAACCTCTAGAAATGGGAGTAGAAGATGTATGCACACTCATGTTCATTACAGTACTATTCACAATAGCAAAAACATGGAGGTAGCCTAAGTGCCCATCACAAAAAGAACAGGTAAACAAAGTTTGGTACATACACCCAATGGAATATTACTCAATGTTGAAAAATAATGATGAATCTGTGAAACACTTCATAACATAGATGAACCTGAAGGACATTATGCTGAGGGAAATTAGTCAATCACAAAAGGGCATGCAGTGTATGAAACTTCTGTGGTAAAAAGTTAAGAAAATATTTTCTTGCTAAAAGAAACATTCTATGAGGGTTACTAGGGGTGGGAGGTAAGGGAAAATTATTATCTGGATAAAGGGTTGTTGTAGTTGTTAAGCAAGGTCGAGTTGATTCCAACTCATAGTGATCCTATATAGGGTTTCCTAGGAGTGGCTTGTGAGTTTGAAATGCCAACCTTGCAGTTAGCAGTTCAATGTTTATTCTATAACGTCACACCAGAATAGAGGGTTGTTGTTGTTGTTAGGTGCCATCGAGTTGGTACCAACCCATAGCAACCTTATGCACAGCAGAATGAAACACTGCCCAATCCTGGGTCAACCTCACTACTGTTGCCACACTTGAGTCCATCAATGCTGCCACTTGGCCAATCCATCTCGTTTGGGGTCTTCCTCTTTTTCTCTGACCTTCCACCTTACCAAACATGATATCCTTCTCCAGTGACTGGTCCCTCCTGATAATATGTCCAAAGTATGAGAGACTAAGTCTGGCCATTTTGGCCTCCAAGGAGCACTCTGGCTGCACTTCTTCCAAAACAGATCTATTGGTTCTTTTGGCAGCCCAGGGCACTTTCAGTATTCTCCTCCAACACCATAACTCAAAGGCATCAATTCTTCTATGGTCTTCCTTAGTCACTGTCCAGCTTTTGCATGCCTGTGAGGTTATTGAAAACACCATGACTTGGGTCAGGCGCACCTTAATCCTCAAGCTGACATGTTTGCTCTTCAACACTTTAAAAAGGTCTTGTGCTGCAGATTTGCCTAATGCAATACATCATTTGATCTCTTGACTGCTGCTTCTGTGAGTGTTGATAGTTGATCCAAGAAGAATGGCCTTGGTGATAGAAATGATGCTGGAGAACGCATGATAGAATTCTGCAAAACCAATGATTTTTTCGTTTCAAATACCTTCTTTAGACAGCATAAGAGATGACTGTACACATGGACCTCACCAGATGGAATACATAGAAATCAAATTAACTACATCTGTGGAAAGAGCTGATGGAAAAGCATCATATCATCAGTCAAAACAAGGCCAGGAGCAGACTGTGGAACAGACTATGCAAATTCAAACTGAAGCTGAAGAAAATGAAAACAAGTACACGAGTGCGAGAGTTCCTGCTCTCTGCGGGGGTCGTGGGACACGAGCGAATACACGGAATCGTTGGGTGAAGAAATGAATGAATACAATCGAGAGGCTTTTCAACTTGTTGTGCTGTCTGGCTATGCTCTCCAGCTTCTGCTTTCTGCTTTTACCTCCTCTGCTCTCTGCTCTCTGCTGTCTGCCCTCTGCCTTCTCCCTCCTGCTCTGTGCTTCATCTGCCACTTGTACTTCCTTCTCTGATTCTGCCTCTACTCCTGCTCTCTGTTTTCCTCTGCTGCCTCTACTTCCTTCTCCTAGCTCTGCCTCTACCTCCTCTCCCTGCTTTCCTCTTTCTGCCTCTTTCTTCTTCTTCCTCCTAGCTCTGCCAGTTCCTTCTGTCAGCCCCCTCTGCCTTCTGATAGTTCTGCCAGCCCAGCTCAGCAAGTCTTTATTTTTGTACTTCTTTCCCCCCAGCACATGCATTGACCTCTTATTGTTTCTTCAATTATTACACAGTTAGTCACAACATTCTTGCACCTAGTTATTAGACATCCTTGACAAAAATACTTCTGTGATGTTCAGACAGACTGACCTTTATCTCCTTTCCCAGTATGTGGTAAACTGTTTCTTTTGTTTCTACTAAAAGATTAAGTCAAACCTTCTACCCTACATAATGTACTATTATTTCCAATAATAAAGTATTCATTAAATCACTTGGAAGCTATGTGGCATAAAGCCCAACTTGGCTACTTGCTGCAAGAAGTGTAGACTATAAAGTCAAAACTATCCTTCAATTAAGTTCATTATTGTCTGCTTGTTTACACAGGTGTCTATGTGTAGGGGTTTGTGAATTCTAGCTAGTGACTGAATGTGGTGAGGCCTATGGGGTAGGTCAGATTGACTCTAATATGCTATCTGCTTCTGTGGCCTCACAAATGCAGTTACTTAGGTTTTCTATGAGAAGGAGTAATTTA